ATGCTGCTCGATCCAGCTGATTTTCGAAGCAAAAGGCAGAAATGTCAGATCGAAGCTGTTATCATTGGACCTGATCTGCGCTCATTGCACCACCATTATTATCATCATCAATATCGGAATTGAATATCAACATTATTTTATTTTCCATTCTTTTTTTTTTTGAATTAAATAATATGAATGAAATATTTACGCCTTTTGATTACGCTACATTTTAAATGTGAAAAATGATGAAAGTAATGAACAATTTAAAATTAAAACAGGTGATTAGTAATAAAAGTTTCGCCAATAAAATATTGCTACAGAGATGGTATCATACATTATATGATTTTTTTTGATAATTAAAATTTAAAATTGGTGTATAGTTATACAGTTATGTAACAATTTTAAATTTTAATTATTACAAATAATGTGACAAATTGTATGGTAGAAATTGTTAAGCGTTTTAATAATAATTTATAATTATTGTAATTTCATACAGTTATCGTGCATTGTAAAAATTAGGCAAAACTATATTCATTACACTTTACACATATTGTAATTAAAGAATTGCATCTGCCTTTGCGTGTATATATCAATTATATATGATACAAATAATGAATATGTATGATGATCAATTGTGGAAAATGAAAAAATAAATATATTTATATCTATATTTTCATGAAAATTATATTGCATTTAAAATATATCAATCACATTTTTATTTCATTAAATATTCTCATTTCATATATATAATTGATTATAATCCTTTCATAAATTTTTGTAAAATTTATTTAGCGCTTTATATAATTAAATTTCTTCATGAATTCCTTTTTGCTTTAAATTAATTTTATATATAATTATTTGAGTTAATACACATTTGATTTTTATGTAACATTTCCTGTCTATACTTGTAATGTAACTTTTTTTCTTTACTCTTTTTCTCCATGAAAAACTAACAGATGGATGATTTGCTTGCTTAGTTTTATGGAATTGCTTACGATAATCCGTTATGAATACAATATCAACTATAACGCTAATTAATCTATACGAACAGACATACACACACACACATACACACACACACACACACACATACAGGTATACTTCATTAAGTTGAAGTCTATCATATTGCATCATTTCAATCTATCATTTATACCGAAAATGATCGTGGCATAATCTACCAAGCGGTATCTTTTTAAACATGAAAATTTTTACGCAATTAAACGGTAAAAGATGGAAGGGTGTAGGAGAAGAAAATGAAAAATTTCCAATTAGAATGAATCGAATCGCTATGCATCATTATCTAAATTTCTAATCCGGATAAATTCTTATACATTACCATTTTTTCCCCATTTTCCGTTTTGTTTTTATTCACACACACACATACACACACACACACACACACACATA